GAAAGAGAAAGTCAGTCAGTGGCTGAATGAACAGAATGAGTATATTAGAAAACAGATGGCTAGTGTTTTGTGTTGGATGAAGGGAAGGATGTAGTAAGCAGAGTAGACTGGTAGAAAGGATAAATGTGGATAGATGGATTGCTAGGAGAATAGATAAGCAGAGAGTGCAGAGTAGTGGGTAATGGGAGGGTGAATGAGGAGGAGAGAACAGGAGTAGTAGTAACTTGGACAGCTAAAATGAGTGAATAAAGAGAGGGAGGGGGCAACGAATAGAAGAGAGAGCCATCTGGAGAGAGCTGGTGGGTGGAGGATGGAGCAGGAGGATAAATGAATGTCTATAGAGTAAATGAGTATGAGGATTTAGGGCTTGCCTACACTTAACAGTTCTACAGCTGTATTACTGCATCTCCACCGGTGTGATGGTTCAGCAAAGACACTGCCATTTGTAGTATATTCTTCCTGAGAGGCAGTAGCTAGGTTGATGGGAGAATTCTCCCATCGACTTAGTGCTGACTACATGGAGGTTGGCTTAACTATACTGCACAGGAGCATGGATTTTTCATACCCCTGAGCACTACTACTCAGTTGGATCTAATTTTCTTGTATATACCAGCCCTAGCTGATGGAAGAATTCTTGTAGGGGTTAGGTTGATGGAACTACATCTCTCAGAGGTGTAGATTTTTCCATCCCTGAGAGACTTAGATATGCCAATGTAATTTTTCAATGTAGACCAACCCTCAGAGCTTGTCTACACAAGGACTAAAACCTAAGAAATTAAATGAGTCCTAGTTCATTCTTTTCTTTAATCTGGTGTTTGTTTGTGGACACTCTGATTTCAAATGGAGATTGAACTCTTTCAGTTTAGCTTAAATTTGTTAAAAATAAAAATATAAGTTAGGAGTATCCTAGTCTGAGCTAATTCTCAGAAATAAAATAACATTTTTCAGGTAAACTTTCCCTTTGCTGTTGCCCAAACTAGAGCTGGGCAAAAACTTTTTTTTTTTTTTTTTATTAAAGCAAATAGTTAGATTTACCAGAAAGTGCACTAAAGTGGGGGGGCACCAAAACGATTTGAGTTCATGTCTAATTCAACAAATAGTTTTAACCAAAAAAAAACCAACCCTCACAACTTTTTTTGGAAATGTCAAAATGAAACATTGCATTTGGAATCAACACTGTTTCATAATATTCCTTCATATTGACCGTCAAAATTGCATTGACCCAAACAAAATATTTTCAGTTTTTAGTTGGGTTGAGAATCTCTACCCAACTTCTCTCCAAAAATCAGTTTTGGTTTAGAATGACCCAATTTAGTCCAATCAAGCTAACAAAATAGGCTCACAGCTCAGACAGAGAAAGGCATGTGAGGGCCGGCTAGTTTTGGGAGATTTGTTCTCCACTGCACTAGCTGATTGGTGGGTCTGGAGGCAGGCATGGTCCTCACCTTCCTCCCTCTCCTCAGGTGTTCTCCATTGTTGTCTTCGGCTCCATTGTGAATGAAGGTTACCTGAACCTCCCTGAGAAGGGGGAGGAGCACTGTATCTTCAACCGCAACGACAATGCTTGCAACTATGGCATCACCGTGGGCGTCCTTGCCTTCTTCAGCTGCCTTCTCTACCTGGCTTTGGATGTCTATTTCCCACAGATCAGCAGCGTCAAGGACCGCAAGAAGGCAGTGCTCTCAGACATCGGTGTCTCTGGTGAGCTTCCTGGATGGTTGGGGACTTAGGGACTAGTTCTGGCCACATGGGAACTCACCTGGGGAAAGGAGCCAGTCTTATTTCATAAGCCAGCCGGCCAGATGTCTCTGGTACAGGAATTCTTTGACTGGTCTCCTTCCTTGTCCCCCCTCCCCTGCCCCTCCTTCATTATCCTCTTTGTCCTCCAACCCCTCTCCCCCTTTTAAAATCTCCTCTTCTTTCTTCTTCTCCTCTCCCTGTCTCTTCTTTCCTTCCTCCTCTTCTCATTCCCTATCCTCTCCTTCCTCTTAACTCATCATCTTTTTCCCACCCTCCTCTCATCCTCTTAGCCCTGTCTCTTGTAGACTTCTCTCTGGCCTCTGCTTCTGCCTCGTGATTTGATGTTGGGATAGTGACTCCACAGGCAGCTCAAGCATTCCTCACATAATGTGGGTGAGGTGAGAGTATGTGCATATTGCATTCCAGTGATTAAAAATGACAAGCCTTAAAGATGACCCCCAAAGGAAAGAAACACCTAGTTTGTGTCCCTTTTGTGTGTGTTCTGTATGGTGCATTAAAAAAGCTTGGAAGGATGCCTTTTTCCCTCTGATTTTCCTTTAGAATTATTGTCTCATTTCCCCTGATTCTTGCAGGAGGTCTCCTTGGAAGATCAGAAAACTGGTGTAGGATCTTTCTCAGCCCTTATTTGAAGGAGTAGAGGATGGTGCATCTTGTAACCGAGGTTTTTCTTTCCAATGCCGGGTGTTTGAATCAAATGAGAACCTCCCCGCCCCCAACACACAGAATTTTAAATAATCTGACTATAAATTCCCTTTAAGCCCCTTTTGTATTGTGTATGTTCTGAGGCATTCCAGGTTCCTGACCAGCTCCTGGCACCCAGGGCTGTTCTAACTTGTATTCTGCTTCCAATGGTCCCTAATTTGTTGGAGTTGCTGAGAGGCACATGTGTGCCTGGCACCTCAGCTGGAAGTATCAGTGAGTGGTGTCTTGAGGCAAGTCATTTTCTTTCACACCTCGTCTCTGAATCTCTGACCTGCTTTGCATCTTCTTCTGCCCCAAGTTCCCTCCTCTCTCAACATTTTCCTGTACTCTACTCTCCCATTCATCTGTTCTTGTCTCCTCCTGCACCTACACACACGCTCTCCTTCATACTGACATTTCACTCCTCATTACTCCCTTTGTCTGTCTGACTCCCCCTTACCCCCAACTCTGTCCCTTCTTTTACAGCCTCAGGACACCTGGAACAGCTTCCCACTGTGACCTTGTGCTCCCACCTGTAAAGAGAAATACACAGTCATTTGTTCTGCAAAGCCTTCCCAACGTAACATCCACCCCTTTTCTGCAGGCCTGATTCTGAACTTCCATCAGCTCCCATCAGGAATGTCTCCACTGAGTCCAAGGGAATCACCCCACTGGAAAACTGTTGTGCAAAGAGGATTAGGCCCAGTGTCTGTTCATTCTTCTGTACCTGTTTGGGCCTTTAATTGTATAAGCTCTTCAGGAGTCTCTTTGCTTTTTATCCAAAGTTGCATATTGTCTATCCAAGGCACTGCTATAGTGCTGTATAAATAACAAATTGCGAGATGCAGAGAAGGGAATGTGTTAGGAAAAAAAACCCTGAGTGCAGTATAGCAGACAAACATCCTGCCTATTTCTCCCGAGGTATCTGGGCATATCTCAGAAAGGAGACAAATGCATTCATTTCTGTTCCTTTCAGGGACTCCAGGCCAGCCCCTTTCTCACACTCCTAATGCTCTGATACGGATCATCCACACTCCTTTCCCCTCCCATTAGGACTCTGATGCTCCTCATTTATCATCCCTCCCCAAGGGAGCTGTGATCCAGTTGTTTTCCTCCATGAAAATGCTGCTGTTTTGTTGCTCTCTTTTTCTCATGCTCCAGTCCCTTGAGTGGGAACACTGCTATTCTGTGTATTGCCAGTGTATCACCCATCTTTTGGACAAGATGTAAAACTGAGGGCTTGTCTGTCATCATACTGCTGTTTTATAGATTCCATGACAGTTTTTATAAGTGTAAGGGCAGTAGCCCTGGTTTCCTGCCCAAATCCCAAGCACTGTGTAGTTGCAGTCTGGCTGCCTACAATTGCTTCACTGCTTGTTCTGGAGAAACTGCTCTTCACTTGTCCTTCCAGGACAGTATTGTGTAGTGTAACTGGTGCAGAAAGACTGCATTTTAGAAGTGAGTGATCTTGCCTCATTTGGGAGGCCCTGCAGAACTCGCTCACTGTGCCAGCTCAGAATCATGTGACCCTCCCAAGCTCATGCCGATAAAACATGAGTAGCACACTGTACCTTAATGTCTTCTCTGCAGCTGCATGTCCCAGAGTGACTGCTCTGTCCTCAGTTACACCCCTACCACTCCACTGAGTTCAGTGGGGCTGCACAGTCAGAATTTGACCTAGTCTGGGAAACACTTGGGGATCTTGCAGGATAGAAATTGCTGCAGAAACATTATGTATTTACTGTTTATCCTGATTCTGTCCTACCCCTCTCTCTCTTTCTCTCTTGTTTTAATGGTGTCCTTTCCCAGCCTTTTGGGCATTCCTCTGGTTTGTTGGCTTCTGCTTCCTGACCAACCAGTGGCAAGTTTCAAAGCCAGAGAACAACCCGCTGAATGAGGGGGTAGATGCAGCCCGAGCAGCCATCACCTTCTCTTTCTTCTCCATCTTCACCTGGGTGAGTAAAGCAGCTGAGACTCTGATTAGAGATGTTGGATGAAGGCTTCACTGCAGAGCAGTGCCTGCTCTCCCACCCCGTTAAAGTTAGCCCACCACTCAGGAGAGGGATGTTCCCCTGGCTAGGACTGACTCCTTCTGCATTTCCTGTGGAACAGAAGTTAAAGTGGCTTCTGGGAGAGGAGCAGCAGAAGCCAGGGAGGATGGTCCAGCGGATAGGGCATCAGCCTAGACTTGGGAGAGCTGGGTTCAAGTCCCTTTTCTGTCCCAGACTGTGTGTGACTTTGGACAAGCCACTTAGCCTCCCTGTGTTTCAGCTCCCTATGTCCATTCTCCTCAAATGGAGATAATAGCTCTTCCCTACCTCAACGGGGCATTGCGAGGGTAAACAGAGTGGAGACTTTGTGGTGCTCTGATGCTGTGGCAATGGGGGCTGCATAAGTACCATGCAAAGAATCAGTTTTTCTTTCCAAGGTGTGTTGTAGCATTACTGATGTCAGGAGGGGTTTCAGCAGCTGTATTGTGGGAGGGAATGGTTGTTAACATCCTATAACACACCATATGGTCTTCCCTCTCTCTCTACGTGGTTTCCCCCAAGCTGGCAACCCGCATTACATCTGGGGGAATTCTTGGCCAAAAAATATTCTGCATATTTTAATATTTAAGATATTAAAATGTTGCAAAGTTCTGCAAATGTTGTTTGTCAAAATAACACTGTATAATCACATCAGTGTCAATTGTGCTGATTATTTATTTCAAAATGTTTGTCAGCAAGTATGTCTGTAAACACACTCACACTCACACTCACACTCTCTCTATTCCCTCAGGAATAGAATTAAGAAACCTCTGTGACAGCTCAGTTCCTGTTTTTCTATCTCCCTACCCCCCCGCTTCCTGGAAAAAAAAAGAGGAGCAGGGGAGCAGACATCCACAACCCTTCTTCACACCATGCCCCCTCCTACCCTCGCAGCCAGTACATCCAACCCTCCTTCCCCCAAGCCCAGTCATGGGGGCTCCCAACTCAGACACCCTCCCTCCCAGAACCCAGCCGAGACCCCCCTCAGCCCAGACACCAGTCTCTCTACTGCCCAGGGTTCCAGATGGATCACCAGCCTCCTGCTACAGCTTCTAGGAACTCTCTAACCATCTCCCCCCACAACTCAGAGTTTTCTATGTATGAGCTAACTAGGCTCTGCCTGCTCCAGCAGCCCCTAGTGGCGGCCAGCAGCATTGCAGCCCATCTCTAGGGGAGAAAGGAAATTGTGCGCACACAACACTAATTTCTACAAAATTCTTCGTTGAGCAGTGGCACAAGATTCCACCAGGAGTACCTAGTTCATTTATTCATTTGGTAGGAAGTAAATGGTGGAATTTGTTTGGACCCTAACCAGAGCTTTCTTTCCCTTTCCTTTTTATCCCCCAACCCGCACCAGAGAATTTCTCCACGTGTCCAGATTTGGGGGCTCCTTTTCAATATAACCTATTGGGGTTCTTTTCCATATGCAAAGAGCCTCTTTGTACTTTCAGTCTACATGACTTTTTATGTGAATTTAAGAGTGGGAGCAAACAAGGAAGAACATAAGTCTCCTCAAGAGAGAGCACAATCTGTCTTTAGTGAGATACTGTTATGTCTCTGCCTTACAGAATAGCAGCCAGCATGCTCTTAGAAATGTAAAGGGGTGGTATGCAGATAAGATCACGCCAATGGCATGGCTGCCTGTCCTGCTCAACCAGAATCTGTTCTCCTCACTAGACATTTCTTTATAGTCCTAGTGCAATTAGGGCTAGTAGTGGGAAATTAGGAGCTGGATGAGTTCTGGAGGTAGCATCTTTACCCCTGAAAGATGAGGCCAAAGAGAACAACACCTGCCATAGCCTCCCATGCATTGGGTGTGTGCCCACTGGAGCAGGAGGTGTAGTTTCCAACTCAGGCAGATGTACCTATGCTAGTTTTGCTCAAGCTAGGGAGCTAAACACAGAAGTGTTGCCATGGTGGAATGGGCTAGCCAGCTGAGTACGTACCTAGGATCCAGAGCAGGATCATACTCCGAGAGCTAGTCCATCCCAGTGCCATGACAGCTACATGGCTATGTTAGCATTCAAGCTTAATCAAAGCTAGCACATGTATGTCCACTGGAGCTGGAAATGATGCCTCCAGCTCCAGTGTAGACCTACTGAGTGAGTGGGGTTGCAGGGCTCTCCCTACAGACCAGGGTGGCTCAGCCACAGGAAGGGAGGGTTGTAACATTTAAGGCCTGAGGAGCAAGGTCCTCAGAGACCAGCACCTCTCTACTTGTCTACAGGAAGGGGAGTCTAATGGCTCTCCAGTCCCCCTGCCTGGGCTGCAGAAAACCATGTTGATGTCTCTTGGGGTTTTATTTTAGTCACATGACTTTGGTTTTCCTTTCTTATTGACTCTTCTCCCTCTCCCCTCCCGCTCTCTCCTCACAGGGCCTCCTGACATTTCTGGCTTTCCGGAGATTCAGACACATTAGCTTTCAGGAAGAATATAACACTCTATTCCCTAGCTCCTCCGCACCACTGCCCTAGCGCTATTCCCCCGGGGGGCAGCTAGCACCATTCCCCCAGGGCTTTGGTAGGGAAGCGCAGGGGAGGAAGTGGTCAGAGGGCCAATAATTCCAACTCCCTTGATTGGGGTGGGAGGCAGGGGCTGTCATGGCGGGAGGGGAGAGAAGTGTTGTGCTTTGGAACTGGGATGGGACATGAATTCTCCTTTGGGGAGTTGGAAGTGGCCCACCTCTCCTCCTGCATTCCCCTGCACCGGACTAACACTGAATAACACACGTTTTCCTCTCTATTGGCCTCTGTTCAGTCTTAATATTTTAGCCGGGCAGGTCAGGTCTCTCCCCACTACAATCCCTTCTTCCCATCTCCGCTTCCTTTCACTTTTCTGCCCCCTTCACTCACTGTGCTGGGATGGTCCCTGGGTGGCTGGACCATTCAAACATGTCTGGGATACTGAAGGAGGGCAGCCCACACTGGCTAAAGGGATCTGGTTGCTTTGCCCCAGTCCCAATGATCTTGTCACCCCAAGGAGCATTTGGAATACTATTCTAGCCACTCTTCCCAAGGGAAGGCATCTGCTGCCCCTCCCCCACAAGTACTGGGGTTGGAGTTGGTTTGGTTTGGTTTTTTGATGGTGTAGCCAGTCGCACAGTGGATGACTGGCAGTGAAAGAGTTAATGGGAACAGCCGCTTGCCTCATGTCCGCTCCTCCATCCGCTCAGTCTGGCAGTTCAGGCTGGAGCCTTAGTTGGGTCTAAGGTGAAATGGGTCACAGATCCCAGCCCCAAGGAGCAAGAGCACTGAGGTGGATGTGAAGCAGCTCACCTGGCTGAGGAGGGTGGGTATATCTGCAGGCCATCTACGCCTTCACGATGTGAACCCTGTCTCTGGGCAGGACGGATGGACCTCGCACGCTGCAGGGACTGCTATGAGCCTGGGCAAAATGAGTGCAAGCGGAGGGCTGCACACTCGTGCTGTGTCTCTTGTCCTGGGCTTGCGCTCTCCAGGGGCGCACAAACTCTTCTTGCACTTGGGTGTCTTTAACCGGTGATGTCCAGTCACGGCTTGTGCACTAACCCTTAACCACTACTAACTTGGCTTTGTTTGTCTCTCCTGGGTGTGTTTCCTTCCCTATCTCCTGTCTCTCCCTTTGCTTCCCATCTCCCCTCATCCTACCTTAAAGGTGGGCCAGGCGTTCCTGGCATACCAGCGCTACCGGATTGGTGCCGACTCGGCCCTCTTCTCCCAGGACTACATGGACCCAAGCCAGGCATCCGGCATGCCTTATGCCCCCTACCAGAATGAGGATGA